TATAGCTGTTTCTGTATGTATATATATCTATATATAGCTGTTTCTGTATGTATATATATCTATATATAGCTGTTTCTGTATATATATATATAGCTGTTTCTCGTAAATTTCAGAACACTTTTAACACTAAAGAAAATGTAGAAACCTTATGGTTTGAAGAAATTAAAGTGTAAATGATTAACTATGTAAAAATATGATATTAACAGAAATATACTGACGTTTGAGAAAGTAGGGACTTAAGATACATATCTCTCCAAACATGTAATAATGCTGGAAACATCGATGTTTGACAAAATAGAGGCTAAGATAAGAATTATTTAAACTCTAAAATACATCGATCTAAAACATTTAATCGAAATGTGTAAGAAGCTGAAAGTTTAAGCGTCTTGTTAACATAGGTCACGGAACACATTTTAATTTTTTTTAGGGGGGGCACCGAAGTTTGGAGGCACTTCACTATGCTACCAGTGACCATTGAATTCAAAACTAAAATAACAACATTGAAAGGGGACACTTCCATATCGAGTCAAAATTGGGGGAGGGGGACATGCCCCCTGATTTAGTCGCTTATGCTTGTAATTGAATAATCTTTATGTATTATTTGGGGAAAGTATACCACGGCTCATTTTAAAAACCATTAATGTTTTTTATCACATCCATTTCTGTATAAGCCTATTCATCATTGGAGAGTGATAAGTATAAATAAAACATGGCTGAAGATGTAAATATAAAAGAACTAAGAAACGTATTATTAGTCTGTATTTAATAACGTTATCCGATAACATGGTATAGACATAGAGTTGTCATCTTATTTACTGATTCGGTTGAACAAATCAGAGTCAACTTTGCTCTGCGAGAGGTGTAAAGTTCTACGTTTTTTTACGAGATTTTCAAGATCGTTATTTTTTTCGCGGTTATCGAAAGTGTGTGTTTTTGTTTCAGGAAATATTTATAAGCGAATACTGATTTATTTTTCTTTGTTGAAATTACTTCTTAATAATTTCTAGCTTTGCGTATTTATTGCAATTCAATGAAGACTTTTCGGATTAGTACTAATACTAGACTTATAGCGCTTACAGACAGCGTGACAGCAGTGCTTTTATTTGTAACTGAATACGTTTTTACACAGCGTTTATTATTGTCATTTTAAACCATCATGCTTGTTTCTGAGATATTTCTTCAAATATAGCCAAGTAACGTACACAAATACCCGTGCTATTTAAGAAGTTGTAATATAATTATCATTACTAGTTTTCTCTACTCCACTTGTGATGAAGTATAGGCCTATATAATGACACGTGAACCGACACTGGGGGAAGCCATTTTGAAAACATTAGTAAAATATATGAACGTTGATAAAGATAACCGAGTGATTAGTATAAACATGCAGTACCTTATGGTTGTGTTACTATAAACAGTTGTGTCTCATGGTTGTGATACTATAAACAGTTGTATCTCATGATTGTGTTGCTATAAATATGTTGTACCTCATTCTTGTGTTACTAGGAGCATGTTGAACCTTATGGTTGTGTAAGTATAATCATGTTTTATCTCTTGATTGTGATACTGTAAATACGATGCACCTCATAATTATACAAACACAAATATGTTGTATCTCATGGTTGTGTTACTAGGAGCATGTTGGACCTTATGGTTGTGTTACTAGGAGATGTTGTACCTTATGGTTGTAATACACCATTACTTACATCGATCA